CTCGTCAGCAAGCTGGGAAACTTCAGAGCTCACTTTCGCAAAAACCCCCGGCCATCCGCCCCCCCTCCCCCCCCCCCCCCTCCCCCCCGGTAAACACCGGTGCCAGCCGCTGGAGCCCCACCAGGGGTGTGGTGGACGTCCGTGCGTTGCCGGAAATTCCTGCGGCCCGTCTGCGAGTCGTGGACGCAGGGAGCCTTCCTCAGGTGCTCAAGACCGGCTCGCTAGAAGTCCTCTGTCGGCCCCACGAAGACCACCGTCACGATGACCACTGCAAGCCTAACGCTCTTCACCTTCTTCAACCGCAACATCAACCCCTCACCCGCTTCCACAAGCTCCATCTAAACCATCATCACCATTTCTTCTAAAAGTTCATCTGTGCAATACTATCTCATCATCGTTGGACATGGCGCCGTGGATCTTGACAGTATGGGCGACTTGCCTTTTGCGTGGGCCGAAATAAATCACTACCACTATCACTATTTAGTGCCAATATATATTTTGACTCGCCTTCATGATTTCGATTGGCTCAATTTCCTATTTTTTACTGAACTAATAGACGCGCAGTTTGTTTCAAAACAAAGCAGTGAATATTTGTTATATTCCTTTCGCGCTTCGAAAAGATGAACCTTCAAATTTCGATCAACTTCTTCCCCGCCAAAGGTCCGTGTGGTGCGGCGAAAGGCGGAGAGCACATTTCGCGCTGCTCCTAAGCACCGTAGACCGACGATAATGGTGATGATGATAATTCGCGGCTATTCCTTTATGTTTGGTTTAGTTGCGAGCGCCAGCAAGGCGCCTCGCAGGAAGTCTGTACCGTGCGAAAGCAATGGCCGAAGCAGCGAAAAATATCGGAGGCCGTGACGGAAACAATCAGGGACAACAACATCGTAAATGATTTGTTCGTGTTTTGACGTAGCGCTCGACCCTCGAAGCCGAATATTACGTCTGTGTTCGTCTCGCGTCAAACGCAAACGCAGCAAAGAAAAAAAAAATGGCCGCGAGTTGTGTTTAATGTTTGCCCCGCGCTCAATTGAGAAGGATGAAATAAGGAATCTAGTGCGCGCGCCTTGTGTTTGTAAACACAGTTCACTCTAACACAAAACTCTGGGGGAAAATCAGCTGGACGTTGGATCTCCTCGCCAATCACAGCAATGAATATATACACTCTTTGCAGCAGCTGTGCGTGGACCTCGCCATAACCGACCTTCATTTTTTTCCCTCTTAATACGTTTGCTTCGTCGTGACCCCAGCAGGCCAGGTTATTGCCATTTTAGATTATACGTTGTTCTTCTCCCAGGCCTTTGTAGAAGCTCGGTAACGCCCGCTTCACGGCATCTGGGTAAGGCAAGAGGAGGTCAGCAAGGACGGCTGTAAATTAGGCTCATGTGCAAAGCGCCTATCCGTGTTACACGTTTTGCTCACGTTGAGATTTCATATTAAAGACCATCTTTAACCGTGAATATTTTCTTTTAAAATTACCTAACTTTTTTTTTATTCAGCCTATTTAGTGCTGAGGCGCTGCAAAGGAATTCAGTTACAATGAACTAAACAAAAAAAAAAAAAAAAATGGTGCCCGTGCTTTACATTGTAGCAAGCGCTGTTCAGGGCATACGGATAAAATGTGATCTTGCGTCAATCCGGCTGTGTTTCTGGGTCACGATTGAAGGCAATTCAACTACACAATTGTGCATTCGGGCCTCATATACTGGGAAGAGGGACAGTCTCTCCGCAGCAGCAGGCAACATATGGCACGGATTTCTCGTTAATATTCCTCACATTATATTTTGCTCGTTTCTTTTGGTGCGTTTATTTTTTTATTTTTTTTATGCGTGTGGAAACTACAATTTTTAGATAAAAAGTTGGAATGCAAGCGAAATTAAACTCCGATTACGCTGACTTTCTAAAAATTAAAAATTTAACTGAAGGATGTACGAATCGTGGTTCGAATCCAGTACCGCATCATCAATCATAGATTTCGCAATACAAGAGAAAGTCACGGCAATGATCGACTTTTTCTACAATGTTCAAGCTAAAGATTGCACCTGAGCCGTGTGATTCAAACCGCAATTCGCAAAAGTTACCTCCAATCAACGCCAGATTTGTGATAATAACAAACATTAACTCCGAAAACGTTCCATTACAATTAAACTCGAAAATCCCGGAATCTTACACCTACCGGGAACGTTTTTTGTCTTTTTGCGAGTACTACTTACACCGGAGTCCTTCAATATGCCCTGCTTATGCATTCGAACTAAATAAATATATATATATATAACGCATGAAAAACATGCGATTTTCGGAAGGAACGAATCCTGCAGAAGCGAAGGTATGCTGAAAAGATAGAGTGGCCACCGCTCCGGTTTTTTTTCAGCCTGAACGCGGTTATGTACCAACCCCCCCCCCCCCCCCCCCCTCTTTTTTCCTTTTCATCCAACGCCAACAAAACAATTATATTAAACTATCCACCGTTGAAAATGCGTAGAGAGGCACCCGTTTTTTTACGAGGAATGTAGCCGATATCATGTTCCCCGAAAATCCTCCCCGTTCTCGCTTTGATGGTTGTTTGCTTCCTTTCGGCGACGGGAATGCCGGATCTCTTTCAGCGACGATCATTCGTTAAAAGGGGGCTTTCCGGCGCTACATCTCCCGGAAGCGTCGTATCAGCCTTCATAAAATAAACGTTATCCGTAAAAATAGCGAAAATTTCTTTCTCTTTCCATCTTTCGCTCTCTCTTTCTTTGTATATCTCTTTCTCTCTCCGCCGTTCCTCGGTTTGATTGATCTTTTGTTTTTTGGGTAGATTGAAGCTTCATAAAAATTACGCTAACGCTAATCAACGCTATCTCACTGAGTTTCCGATGGAATATGCTGGGCGAGTCAACATTAAATGGAATCGTTGATAATGAAAAAATTCTTCTCGGTAAAACTGAGTCTTAGTAACTTTTGTTTTTTTCTTGATTTGGAAACGTATTTTGACCGGAAACTCGCGCTTGTTTTTATCGTTATTTTTATCTATCCTTTACTACTCCGTTTCGCTTTTTTTAGTACCTCCTCTTAATTATTGTGATTTTAAGACACGTTGCCTTACTATATGCGAATTCGATTTATCCTCTTCTGGAGAAAACAGTGCAAAAATATATATATAGTCATCACCTGCTATTATTGGTCAATCATATGGCAGACAATATATTTGACACTTTATTAAGATTCGTACACCGTTTTGACGTTGAATGTCGCGACTATCGGGATGTAAATTTACTTTCAAGGTTAGTCTAAAGGTATAAGCATCGCGCAGTCAGGCCTCTGTCTATAGAGGCGATACTTCGGGGCAATGGTTCGTGTGACCTAAAACAAAAATAGTATTTTTTGTTTTTTATTGCGAGAAAGGCAGTACTTGGAAGCGTGGATGACCTCGTCAAGGCATAGGTCAAAGTAAAGTAATAATAAAACCACCATACACTTAAGAATTAGTTTTGGCCCACTAGAATGATGTCAAACATTAAATTGTTATCATTCGACATTTCAATTAATCAATTTCGCCTATACTTTTGATAAGCCGATGGGGCTTTAAAGATACTGCGAGCTTGACAAAATCTGAAGATCCGCCATATTATTGGATAGCCCAATCACAAAAGTTGGATCTGCATATATTTGAAATTTTTAAACATTTTGCAAATATTGTTTTTTTTTTATATTTTTTTTATTTGCAGCATACTTTTATTGTTAGAAGCGTTCGATTTCTTGGAATATTTAGAGATGACAAATGATCTTCGACATTCCCCATTTTCTGGCGTCGAGCTTCATCGCTTCGCAACGGCGCGCTCGCGCGTCGAGCTTCACTGTTTTACACCAGCGCGCTCGGGGAAATCGCTGACTCGGAGGAGCTTCTCCCTTGGTTCCATGCTCTGGGGATTTTTGCTCGCTAACGTAGATCAACTTATTTGTTTATTTGGTCACGATTATAGTTCATTTTAATTTTAAAACACAGTGCTGGAAAAATAATTCCAGCATAAGTTTCAATAAATAAGGTAGTCATTGCTTTGCATGCTATGTCACACTTTTTAACCCAAACTTATCGAAGACTTATTTTTTTTTTTTTTAAATTGAACACAAGTGCGTGAAATGTTTCCGTGCTCTGCCCAAGTTAAATGTAAAATATTCGTATTCTAAAACGTTCCCTTCAATTCGCAGCCAATTCTTAACATTTGTGTTCGAATTCGCCAACAAACATTTTATATTAACACAACTCTACACAAAATATGTACGAAAAAAAAAAAAAAAACTTTCAGCCTTTTTATAGCGTATCCCAGCGAGTTCTTCTGGAATTGCACTTCACCAGCTTTACAAGAAGTGACAACCGACACGCATGACAAAGCCCATTTCTAAAACCTGCACCATCACCGCAAAGAATTTCGCTACTCTTAATAATCAAGAGTGCTCCTTTTAGAAGCAACCAAAATGCCTCTATGAACTGTACCTTAAAATAAACCTCCTGGTAGCCTAAAACTGCAGTCAAACTGTTCGTGCATATACACAAGACACTCGTTACGGATATGATGACAGAATTACCTGTGGAGACTGCCATAGCATGATCGAAGCATCTTTGCTTCATACACATGTATGTATGCTTCAAAGATGTCTGTAGGCGGTTTTGTATGAGCAATGTGACGCTACCGTCGTACAAGGAAGATACACTCTTCAAACAGTGTGCGCAGTTTGTCTTTTTTATTCTGTATTTGTAGCGTGACCCTGGCTTCAGAGTAATCGCCTACCTTGCTGTAACACCATCCTCAGGGCTCTTAGAAGCGCTTCGCTATGTCTCTTAGGGAAACGTCAGCCGCCATTTCCTAGCCTTTTGGGAGATGTCTTTTCAAGTATCTTCCTACGAGCTTCGATTTTATCTTACTGCTGTTGTTGTTCTGCGAACTCTACACGTCATAATAACGTGCACCAAACCTCGGAGGAAACCATCCTCAATCCCCAACGCCTGTTCTGCGCAGGTTACGGCAACATCGCACCACGGACCAACTGGGGCAAGATGGTGACCATCCTGTACGCCATCGTGGGCATCCCGCTTATGCTGCTCTACCTGACCAACATCGGCGACATCCTGGCCAAGGCCTTCCGCTACGTGTACGGCAAGCTGTGCACCTGCAGGCCGGCCCAGCACCCGCAGCGCCGCCGCCGGCAGCCGCTGCCACTGCACAACCACCTACAGCGCAACGCGGCCGTCGAAAACTACCGCGTCCACCACATCGTCGGCCACAACTCGGTGGACCTGCAGGACGGCAAGCTCCGGGACGACCCCGTGCGCGTGGAGAGCCTCGCCGACGACGACGTGTACGAGGGCGGCGCCAAGCCCCGCGTTTCGGTGCCAATCACCCTCTGCTTCGTCATCATGATCGGTTACATCTCGGGCGGAGCTGTCATCTTCAGCCTCTGGGAAGGCTGGGAGTTCCTCGACGGCTCCTACTTCTGCTTCGTCACGCTCAGCACCATTGGCTTCGGAGACCTGGTGCCAGGGGACACCGTGGTCTCGGACAGCGGGTCCCAGGAGAAGCTGGTCATCTGCTCGCTCTACCTGCTTGTCGGCATGGCCTTGATCGCCATGTGCTTCAACCTCATGCAGGAGGAGGTCATCTACAAAGTGCGGAACTGCGGCAAGCGCATCGGTATCATCAAGGACGCCGACGACGACGAAAACTTTTCTTGAGGCTCGGCGCACGCGTCGCCTTCGGTGGAACTGTGCGTGTGTGTGCTCTTCCTTCTTTTTTTTTAAGATGAATGTTGGGGGTATGCCCCGTGGGACGGTGCTAATCCCGCGAGAGCGGCTCACGTATACATAACTTGATGCTATACATCTCCGCGTTACGGCAAACGTTTTCCCAGCTGTGCTGAAAGAGGAGTTGGGCGAAAGATTAGGTATTTAGGTATACTGAGAAGAACCTTCGGTATGTGGTGCCTGAGACGTGTCACCAACCGATCTGTTTGATCGCATCTTTATTTTGACATTCGTTCTGAAGCAGCCGTCCAGTTGACGGAAACTCCGGGAGAAAGAAGTTGGGATGGACGACTGCGTACAACTGAATCTTTTACGTGGGCGGTGGCTTGTGCCACCTAGCAGTGCTTTTGATATCAGCGGGTAATTTCCACCTACTATACAAAACATTGAAGTTAAGCCTTCCAATAGTAATACTGCTCTCCGAATGCCTCGCGACAACGGCGATGCCCGTGGCGGCTCGTCTTCCTTCGCCGTCTCCCCTACAACCAACTGCCAGGCACGCAACAACCGTAGAGGTACATGGCTCCTCCTGCGGTGCCTTTTGTCAACATTTTGGGGCACGCACCGTTAAATGGCCTCGTATACACCTTTCCGTGTCTGCCCGGGCACAAAATGGCGAGTCACTGCGATGTGAACGCATGCGCGGCGTCAAATACCCCGCAGAAGGGAGTTATACTTTTTATTCCCGAGCCACAGCTCGGGAATAAAAAGATGGCCGCGCGCAGAAAGCGGTTGCGGGAATGGTCTATACGGACAAATCCTTCTGCGCCCTTCCATCTTTGTCAGCTGGGCTGCGGAAGACGGCGCGCATGCGTCCATGGCCAATACCACCTAGAGGACAAGGCCCACGCATCATGTCACTGTTAGTGGACCCCCGCCCCGCCCTAAGCGGCATACACGCCGAAGCTCGACGAGAATTACCGTAAAGCGGTAAACGCGTCCGTCTTGGCGTCTCCGCCTGCTAGCGTCGCGCTTCTTGTGAGACGCTGCGTGATCGCGCTCTAGGTGATATATCGCTATAACCCAGTGACTCAGCATTTTTTTGCCTGGACGGTAAACGCTGGAAAGGTGTTTGGAACACTGCTAAAACGAACCAAACGGGGACGCGTTCCACGCTCAGTACTCTGTTTTGACATCTCTCCCACCGGCTGAGAAGTCCGAAGTTGACTCAGGTATTGGAGCTCTTTTAGGACACAGTCAACAAGCAAAACCAAAACAAAACAAAAGCGAGAGGGAGCAGCGTGACAACTCACGAACGCACGAGATATAAGTGTTTGTGCATTTTCTTTTATATGGAATTGCTGAAGGACTCATATTTACAGCAGGACCAGCTCTAAGTAATGAGGTCCTACCTGACCCCGACAAGATAAAAAGTTGGGAGCATTAAAAGAACAATGCCATCGATATATAAAATGCAGCGCGGCAGCGCTATGTAGCCTAATTACCTTACTCGCCCAAAGGCGAACGTTTTTTTTTAATCTTTTTTTTTTTTGAAGATATCGAAGCACTTCATTTTTTATAACGTAATTAGAAATTTAAAGCAGGGTGAAGACGAAGATTGTGTAGATTACTCCTTCCCCATTAGCACTGAATAAGAAACCAAAAACTTAACTGAAATAAAACGACTTGCGTGCCAAATTTTATTCATTGTCGATCGAAATGTAAGAAAATTAATGGAGGTAAATAAAAAAAAAAACTGCTTGCGGTTAAACGAGGAATTTAATATTAGATTATTTGTTTAATATGTTAGTTATGGTCGTATATCATTAAAAACGTTCGGCATTCCAGGACAAGATGAGTTTTCAATTTCGTGGAAATTTCTTGTGTTTTTTTTTTTCAGAAAATACAGAAAAAACATTTGTCAGAGGTGTTTTTATTTTGTAACTTTACTAGTCTGGTGGTGCTTTTTATATTGATGGTGGTGCAGCATCGACCACTTTATCTGCCGTCTGTCGGATTGCCGCCCACCTCAAGGTTCCATAGCGAGAGACCGCTTTTTATTCTTCTCTTTTTTATGAACGAAGATCTAGGAGTTTTTAATCAGCCTCGCCTCCACAAAATCGCTATCTCCGCGTTTGCTGGTTACACAGAAATCGATCGAGGTTCGGAATCCAGCAAATAAGCCGAATAAAAAAAAGAAAGACGCGCGTGCATTTATGATGAACGCTACAATGTTTTCTTACTCTGAACTTTGGCAATACTAGCGCAGTCATTAAAACGACGATTATCTCTTTCTATAAGTGCAGGGCTTTCCAAAAGTTAGTGAAAACAACCGTTAAACCAGCTCGCTTGACCGGAAGATATGTCCGCGTGTGTTCGCTTTCCCCGCAGTGCTCTTTGACTGAAAGCCAATAATCGCAATCTACGGAGGGAGATCGGTCAATCAGGTGGGCAAAAAAATGTTAAGTCCTAAAAGTAGGGGTTTCGAATCGAACAACGGATTGTCATTTCTAGCTTCAACGTCGTAAAGAGAGCAGAGATCCCGTCGTGGTCTTATCCTCACTCTATAAACGCTTTGAAGGACGCAGAGCTATTCGACACTGCGACGTTTATGAATGGATCAGAGCTTCACATAATCACCACTATGAATAAAACAGGTATATCGTTCTCTCACACTGCGAAAGCTATAAATGACGCAGAGGTATTTGACTCTGCGAAACCCATGAATAACTCAGAGCCATTCGACACGGGGAAGGCTATCAATGACGCAGAGCTATTTAACACTGCGAAACCGAATAATGGCTAAGGGCTACTCGACACGGGGAAGGCTATAAAGACGCAAAGCTATTTGACATTGCGAGACCTATTAATAACTTGCAGCTCTTCGAGACGAGGAAGGCTATGCATGACGCAGAACTATTTGAAACAGCGAAACCCATGAATGACTCAGAGCTATTTGACACGGGGCAAGGCTATGAATGATGCAGAGCTATTTGAGACTGCGAAACCTATGAATGACTAAGGGCTAGTTGATACGGGGAAGGCTATGAATGACCCAGAGCTATTTGACGCAGTGAAACCTATTATGACCCACAAATCTTCGACACGGAGAAGGCCATGAATGACGCAGAGCTATTTGACACTGCAAAACCTATTAAATGACTAAGGGCTAGTTGATACGGGGAAGGCTATGAATAACGCAGAGCTATTTGACGCAGCGAAACCTATTATGACTCACAGCTCTTCGACACGAGAAGGCCAAGAATGACGCAGGGCTATTTGACACTGCGAAGCCTATTAATGACTCACAGCTCTTTGACATGGGGAAGGCCATGAATGACGCAGAGCTATTTTACACTGCGAAACCTACGAATGACTTAGGGCTATTCGACACGGGAGAAGGCTATTATTGACGCAGAGCTATTTGACACTGCGAAACCTATGAATGAGTCAGAGCTATTCGACACGGGGGAAGGCTATAAATATTGTGACGCAGAGCTATCTGACACTGCGAAACTTCTGAATGACTCAAAGCTATTCGACACGGGGAAGATTATGAATGATGCAGAGCTATTTGACATTACAAAATCTATGAATGACGAAGGGCCATTCGACACAGGGAAGGCTATAAAGGATGCAGCGCTATTTGGCACTGCAAAACCTATTAATGACTCAGAGCTATTAGACACGGGGAAGGCCGTGCATGATGGTGAGCTTTTTGACACTGCGAAATCTATGTCTCCCTCGGAGCTATTCGACCCGGGGAAGGCTATGAATGACGCTGAGTAATTCGATTCGTACGCAAGCACGGTGTGAGCATATGTGACATGATCTCACATGGCTGACTTAATTTTTTTAGGTCTCAACGTATTTTGCGTCCTCGTCATTAACCGCTCTCCCTCCGAAGATCGCTGCTTTGCAAGTGCGCTGCGAAAAGTAGACGCACGTGCAAGTTTAGAGAATAAACCGAGAGATTAAAGTATTCAGCTCCTTATTTAGTAGGTACGGAAACATCAATTAAACAAGCTGTTTCCGGCAGCTGAGGCGTCAAGGTTATCAGCGACTCGCAGGTTTTTTTAAACGTCGTCACTAGAATGTTTTCCCATTGTTCTAATTACCCGAGTTTCATAACTTCCCTGCCACAACCACCAAAATAAAAATTCTTCGAAACTTCCCGTGCGGTTTATTTGCTTTCAAAGCACTCGGGAAGTCAATCATCGCAAACTATACAAAAGGGCTCAGCATATGGCAAAACTAGCCTAGCAAAAAAAAAAAGTTTTTTTTTTTTTTTTTTTTAATGAAGTGAATGAAAGGGCGCAAACGAACTGTTTTAGATTGAACATGACATAAACCCCGAGGCAATTTCTTTGTCGCGTAATGAAGTCTGCTCATGACACTGATTATAGTGTTTTACATGTGACATGCCTCTTCAGCGCTACGAGTCGAACACCACTTTACGGTCAAAAAAATTTTTTTCTGACCCGCTCGGTCACTTTTGTTTTTCCGTCGATGGTAGCGAGCGTGTTGCGGCAAAGTAAAGGGGCAGGCATATTTTTGCGTTAGGTTGAAGCGAGCGTCACTCACTACTTGGGGAAACCAAAAATTAACATTTTTATATTCCCCCTTCAACACGCTTGTGCCATCTGGGATTTCGCAAGCAATATATACCACTCCGATTGGGGCCTACTGAATACTAGCAGAGCTCTAGTTCCGAGTTGAACAAAATTTCCTTACGTAGTCTCTGATCAGGATTCGCACGTTGCGCCGGTGACTAATAGGGCGGCCGTCCTGCCTTGACTTGGACGCCTTTCGACATGGAGCTGCAGCGCGCCCGCCTAATTGCCTCTTCGGTGGTGCCGGACGCTTCGATAGAAGATTAAGCTCGCAGCCTCCATCCCTCCTCGTGTCACCGTATTGCTTGAGCAACCGGATCGTTAATAAATGAGACGCCGGTGCATCGAGTAGCTTCGAAGTCTGCTCACTCATCTAGTATTCCGCTAAATGCAGAATGCGCACCATTAGTGACCGGGAGTTTCTTAGAAAAAAAAAAGAAAAGAGGGAAAAACTTGCGAGCAGTATAAATGCGCAGACAAGCTACTCGTACATTTTCATTATTAAAAAGGTAAGACACACAAAAAGAGCAAACTGGGAGATTGTTAAAAGAGAAAGAGCTTGCATCCTCGCTTCATTTTTGTGGATTTTAGTTATTGATAAGCTACGGTACAACCTTTTTTTCTTCTTCTCATTTTTGTAGTTCATTAATATTCCAATTTGTAACCGGTACTGCATGTAGTAGTAGTAGTAGTGCTGCCCCTCAATGCACTCGGACATCAATCATGGGTCAGTTTTAAATCGGTCTAGAGCCAATAGGAAGGGCGATCGGTTTTGCGTGCCCCACTGGCTACTTCTCAATGACAAAAAGGCGTTCACGAATTTCGCCCCCCGGCTTGCTTTGTTTGCTCTATTTGCTTTGTTTTATTAGTCTTTATTAGGTGCTACTAATCTGAATGTCTCATTTTCTTTCGTCCCTTTAAAATGGTTCATATGTATATATGAACATTGCTCTATATATTAAAATTGTCTTCGAGGAATCTCTAATTTGCGCGAAAGGCTCAACTCCACTCCCGTGATTTCCTCCTATTCTCTACTTGGATCGTAATATATCGCTCTTACCAGAACCACCAATGGCCGTCCCTAACTTTGTACCGCTTGCCTAAAGTTTGCTTAAGTATATATTTGTGAACGTTCTTAGTATATTGCAATCGTGTTTTCAGGCTTTTTAGGTTTTTTGTTTCCCACTTCCCCTCGTGTAATATACATTCCTAGGAATGTCCTTGACGGCAATGAACTCCACCGTGAGACCGCATGGCTATCGAAGCATACGACACCGGTCCCTTCTCCCGTATATGTCTAGCCGATTACAGGAGAGCCAGCGATTGGCGTTTCTAGCACAAGAGCTTCTAGTCTCTGATGGCTTAAAAGAAGCGCAGGGTGTGGCCTATTATGTTCGCATTTCTTCGCGATTCGTTCTTTCGGCCTCCTGATCGGCTAATATCGCAATCTCATTGACTGAGGAGCGACTAGAAGATCCTCAAACCTCTCCAAGCTCTGCTTTTCTTAGGACCTCAGAGACTCTATATGCGGAGCTCAAGTCCGTCTGCTCGTCTGCTTCTTGCACAGGGGTTGCAGTGACTTCAGAACGCCGAGCTGTGATTGGCCCTGAGTAGAAGGATAGTAGGTAGACCTCAAAGCAGCTAGCATTGAGGACTACCCACTATTCTTCTAATGGGATCCAATCAGAGCTCGGCGTTTTGATGTCAGCGCAACCCCTGCGTACGAAGCAGACGAACTTGCGCTCCGCGCATAGAGTGTATAATCGGGGATCTGCTGACTCCATCGGCCGACAGATCTTGAAAACGCTGCGCAATACCACGTCGAGCTACTCAGCCTTTTTTTTGAACATGACAAACAAAAGTCTTCAATCTTCAATTTTGCTTTTTTTTTTCTAGAGAACTTGATTTACATATAGAACAAATGTATAGACCTTTGCATCGCTCACCCCCCCCCCCCCCCCCCCTTCCCCCGGGCTGGCGAAAAATGCTGAGTCACTGAGCTGTGGACGCACGCGCAGCGTCCGATCTACCGCGCAGCAGAGCAACAGCGCATGCTCAGAAGATGTTCCACAGCCCAGCAGACAAAGATGGCAGCTCGCAGAAGGGAATTTTTTTGCAAAGGTCTATTATACTCGAGCGAAACTTATAAGACTTCCAACCTTGATGTGTCAGAGACGTCAGACTCAAAGAAATGTTGTCTGAACATCGGAGGCTTGTCGCCAAACGAAGCGCTGCTGCAGTGTGTTGTTGCAGCGCGAACTTACCGCTCCAGTGATGCACATTGCGCCGAGTGTGATATACTGTATAGACAAAGAAGACCTCTCATATAGTGGCAATGACGTCGAAATGAACAAGAACCTATATACAATTTTTCTTTTCGCCGAGAAGGTGGTGCGAGAGTCACTGCCCTTACCCTGCGTGCGAACGAGTACGTATATACGGGAAAACATTTTTAAAGTGTTTTGTAAAAAAGAAAACAAACAAAAAAGACTACTAGGTTATATGTCGGGTGGTAGCAAATATTCGTTTTGTTGAGGCTTATTCGTACGAGTAATATACGATGCCCTTGTCCTGCGGAGCACAGCTGGCCTAACACAAACCGGCCCTCAATGGCCTCACTGAATATGGGCCCGAGTGAGGCGTTCAAGAAGCGCGTCTTCCGGGGTTTCGCGCGAAGATATGTGCACGTATCTTCTTCAAATAAGGGGCTTCGTCCTGCGTAGTCATTTGTACATGTATAAAACAGTGCGGTTTGATAAAGCTGTTGAGCAAGACTCGTCATCCGACTCGTCTTCATTGATGGCCTGTAACACAAACTTCAAGTGTTTAGTATTGGACATGAATATCAGATCGTAATGCAGAGCAGTGTAACAAAAATGAAAACACTCAGCTTTTGTTTTTGCGATAATTTATTTTTGTTACATTCTGCATAAATTCTAAAAAGCCTAGTTATGCGGCTCGTGTGTTCCTAAAGCTAGAGATGCGATGGAATTACGCAGCAGAATAAAGCCTCGCGCTTCAAGAAGAATAACAGAACCGAAGACAGATTTTGAGTTGGGGGTTGCATGTAAAACACTAAAAACTAATTGTCCCCATCGTCGGCTCCCGCTGTCAGTCACTGCAGACTTAAAGCCAATTCAATCTACACCACCAGAACAGACGAGCTTCTTAGCATTCACATCTACAGACTCCGACAAAAAATAAGATAAAAAAAAGAAGCACGCTCTGGCGCCGTGATCAATTCGGATCAGTGCGATTCAGCAATACAACCTAGAATAATCGAGGCCTGCGAATGACCTCCTCTTCTTCTAAAGAAAGACATCACGGTCCGGCGGCGCCGACTCAGCCATTGGATCCGAGCCCGATGCCGAGCCTCCTTCGATGCGTTCATTGGACACGAGGCCCGACCGAGCTCTGATGCACCACTCGTATCCAATCGGTGTCTTCGCTCGATCTCACTGTGATGACGTCAAAAATCTAGAGCACGGGCTTCGATTATTCTGCGTTGGTGTTGGCTATCGAGGAACCATTTGGTATCAATAAATCGCATCTTTGGTCAAGCATTGGAAGAGAAACGTATCAATAATAATATTGTTATGTGTGTACCATATGCTAGCGGGAGGATCACTGCGTGCACGCGAAGAGACAAAAGGAGCGCGCGCTTAAAAATAAAGAAGTTGTTCTTGCTGCTGGCACTGATCGTGAACGCACTATCTTTACATGGTGTCAGAAGTCCAAAGGTAAAACATCATGACAGATCTTCGACCTCCGGAACCGCTGCAACTTGGCGACAACGCGGCGGAGTCGTGGCTAAGGTTCAAGCAGCGCATTGAGCTTTACCTCCTAGCAACGGAACCCACGAAGCCTCGTAGTAAGTAACAGAAGGCCGCCATATTTCTACATATCGCGGGCCAGGAAGCTATAGACGTGTTTAACACACTGAATTTGACATCAGAGGAGCAAGCCGACTATGACGTACTAGTCAAGACTCTTGAAGACTACTGCCTGCCCAAATGTAACGAAACGTACGAGCGCTACGTGTTTCGCACGCGTCGGCAAGCTCAAGGAGAACCGTTTGAACAATTTTTTAGAGACCTGCAACTGAAAGCAAGGACGTGCAACTTTGCAGGTTTGAAAGAATCTCTCCTCCGAGATCAGATTGTTTACGGGATTTCGAGCACGATGTTGCGAGAAAAGCTGCTTCGAAAAAAAAAACCTAACCCTGGAAGTAGCAGTAGAGTGCTGCAAGGCTGAGGAGCGTGTCGAAGCACAGAACAAAGCGTGGGATGGCGAAACTGTGAAAATTGACCCCGTTCAACAAGGACAAGCCAAACAGCGTGAGCAAAGAAGATGCACTTATTGTAACTTATCTCATCCGCCGAGGAAGTGCCCAGCGTATGGAAAGACATGTGCCAAGTGCACCAAACGGAATCACTTCGCAGTCTGCTGCAGGAGTAAAAGGGCAGTGGTACACGACGTGGCCGAAGGGGATGAAAGCGATGGTGACTCCGACGTTCTTGAAATTTTGGCAACCGGGAACGAGCGCTCTTCCTCCAATCGCGACTGGATTGTCACCACACGCATCGAGGGTACCGTGGTGAAAATCAAGGTCGACACGGGGGCGCAGGCAAACTTATTGCCCAGAGCGTTGTTTGAGAAGCTCAGGACGAAGCAGAAACCCCGTCCAACCAGAAGCATTCTTCGCCACTACAGAGGCGGCGAAATTCAACACAGCGGAAAGGTTCGTCTGTCGGTGCAGCTCGACAAGCGACCAGTGCAGCTCGATTTCTTTGTGGTGAAAAGGAACCAAGCTATCCTAGGTCTCCGTGCATGCGAGCGACTGGGCCTCGTGAACCGAGTAAGTTCAGTGGAGAACAAGGCCTCCAACCCCAGCATAGAGTCGGAATTCCCGGGGCTGTTCTCCGGTATTGGCAAGACACGACGGGAGTACAAGATGGTACTCCGAGATGACGCCGTACCAGTGGTCCAGCCCGCCAGACGAGTGCCGCACGCACTTAGGGAACCCCTCAAGAAAGAACTGGAACGCATGGAGGCCGCAGGCATTATTGCAAAGGTTAAGAAACCCTCCGACTGGGTGAGTCCCTTAGTCATCGTACGGAAAAAAAATGGCAAATTAAGAATCTGCATGGACCCTCGAAACGTGAATCGGGCACTGAAAAGAGAACATTTTCAGCTCCCACGGCGCGAGGAAATCGAGAGCGAGCTAGCGCGTGCCAAGTATTTCAGTCGCCTTAACGCCAACAGTGGATTTCATCAGATTCCGCTTGATGAACAGACCTCAGAGATCTGCACGTTCAACAGTCCGTTTGGTCGTTACAGATATCTAAGGCTACCCTTCGGAATCGCTTCAGCTCCGGAAGTATTCCAAAGCACAATGAGCCAGATATTCGACGATCTCCCTGGTGTGCGTGTGTACATAGATGATGTACTGGTGTGGGGCGCCACACGAGAACATGACAAAAGGCTTCGCCAGGCGTTGGCAACAGCACAAGCTGAGGGACTGACGCTGAATGCGGACAAATGCACCTTTGGCCAAAAGGAAATAAACTTTCTTGGCGACAGAATCAGTTCCAACGGAATTGAACCGCACCCGGACTTGATAAGCTGCGTTGTACGGCACCCTACTCCAACGACAAAAAAGGAAGTTCAACGCCTCCTTGGTGCAGTGAACTACTTCGTGAAATATTTACCACACCTGTCGTGTCAAACGGAGGCCCTACGCAGTCTAGTTAGGAACGACACCATTTTTGAATGGACCAGCGTACATGATCGTCAGTGGGAGCACCTAAAACAAATGCTGACGCAAACCCCAGTTCTAGCAATCTATGATCCCGAGTTGCCCAGCAAGTTGTCAACTGATGCGTCCGCATTTGCTCTATTGGCTGCGTTGCTTCAGCAGCATGGAATGGACTGGCGTGCGGTAGGCTACGCGTCTCGGGTGCTCACCGATACTGAACGCCGGTATGCTCAGATTGAAAAAGAGGCCTTGGGCATAGCCTTCGGTTGCGAAAAGTTTAACGACTACGTACTGGGAAAACATATCGCCGTCGAAACAGACCATCATCCGCTGTTGGCCATTTCAAAAAAAGAAATAGGAGACATGCCTCCTCGTCTCCAACGACTATTTTTACGACTACTGAAGTATGATTTCGAGTTGCAGTTTGTCCCAGGTAATAAGTTGGTGGTTGCCGACACTTTATCGAGGATTCCATCAGATCCATCTCAGGGAGAGGCCACGACGGATGTAGAAGTGCATGCGGTGGGCGTCCTCTCTGAGGTAGTGGGCCAAGGCACACTAGCTCGCCTACAGGAGGCGACAGCCAGCGATCTCGCTCTCCAGCGAGTCATCACCTGCCTCCAATCATCGAAACCTGTGGAAGGTGAGCTGAAGCGGTTTACACCAGAACTTTCGGTGGTTAGCGGAGTACTGCTAAAAGGAAAGAAAGCAGTCATTCCGACAGCTATGCGAAGAGAGATGCTGAAACGACTACATCAAGGCCATCTGGGGCTGGGTAAATGCCTGTCCAAGGCCCGAAGATTGATGTATTGGCCAGCAATGACCGCCGATATTACCGCTTTCATCGACAGATGTGAAACTTGCAAGAAGTTTGCCTACAGACAGCCAGACGAGCCTCTCTCGATCCGCACCGTTCCCAACCATCCCTGGTCCAGGGTAGCTGCGGATCTCTTCCAACACTCCGGTGAACACTACTTGGCTGTATACGACGCCTATTCAAATTATTCAGAAGTGGAACACCTTCGAGAAACCACAGCAAGGGTGGTCATTGACAAGTTAGCTCAAATATTTGCCCGCTATGGTTTACCTCTTGAAGTTTACACGGATGGGGGCCCACAATTTTCCTCGAAAGAATTTAAGGATTTTGCTGCGCGTTATGATTTTCGGCATACTGTTTCAAGTCCAATATTTCCAAGGTCCAACGGTCTGGCTGAAAAAGGTGTACAAGTTGTAAAGCGTATACTACGAAAAACGGAGAGTGCCAAAGAAGACTTTTGGTTGGGCCTCCTCAACTACCGGGCAGCTCCCCTTGAAGATGGCCGCTCACCCGCAGAACTACTGATGGGTCGAGAACTACGAACCCTACTTCCCGACTTCCCCGCGTCTCCCGCATCTCCGGTCAAAAAGCACGTCCAGAACGAGACGAAAGGAAGACAGCTAGCTCCTCTTCAGCAGGGAGACATCGTGCGAATCCTTAACAACGGGCGATGGGAGCGTAAAGCACAAGTGCAAGACTTGGTGGCCCCAAGGTCATACACGGTGCTTACCGAGGACGGCCGGATCCTCCGCCGTAACCGACAGCATCTTCGAAAGACACCGGAAGGTTTCTTCATCTCCATCAACGACAGCGACTCAGAGGACGACAACGGCGATTGCTTGCCACCATCAAGAGATGGATCACAGCCTCCCTCAGGATCACGGCCTCCCTCACCACCAGAGCCTCCTCGAAACCAGGTGTCGCCTCACCCACCGACCTTACCCGCTCTTGAGCAGGCGTCATCAGGAGCAGGACCTCCGTCCAAGAGACCTAGAAGGCTACCACAACGCCTGGGCTACATAAAAGGCTTCCAACAGGCAGAACTAATCTAAACGAGTACAGCCCGCTTCACGCGCTGCTTGTGGTTGTTGTGTACATCTTTGTTCCCTCAAAGAAAGGAGGATGTACCATATGCTAGCGGGAGGATCACTGCGTGCACGCGAAGAGACAAAAGGAGCGCGCGCTTAAAAAATAAAGAAGTTGTTC